TGCCTGAGCCCACAGGTTCAACCGGGCAACTTGGCGAGATCTCATCTCTACGATCAGAAATTAGCCAGACATGGTGGCACGCGCTTGTAGTTCCAGCTACTTGGAAGGCTGAGGCAGAAGGATCGCTGAAGCCCAGCAGCTCGACACTGGGATGGCCATGAGCGTGCCAACGAGCTCCAGCCGGGCCTACGAAGTGAGTCTCCAACTCAAAAAAAAAGCCACAGAGACACATTTTAAAGAAGGGAAAGAACCATCGACCCAGGAGTCTGTAGTATGTGAAAATGTCTCAGGAACAAGAGTGAAACGCCTCTGGCATCCCCCGAAGGAAGCCGTGGCCCCGCCGCTCGTGTTCAAGTCTGCAGAGGAGCCCCTGTGGGTGCTGCCACAGCTTACGACATGCGTGGGCCCATGGGGTGCCGCGCTGGGTGCGGAGAGCAAGGAAGTGAGGTGGCGCTGCGGTCTTCGTGGCACCCAGGCGTCTCTCTTGACATACTCCCTTCCCCAGACCGTGGCATTCAGGGCCTGTGGCTCTGGTCATCTCTGAAGTGTCTTGGGGCCATCCTCCCACGGTCTGGATGATTGGCTTTGGGGCCACTCTCCAGAATGTGGCCAGGCAGTTTCTTATCACTGTGCAGGTACATCCACTGTGGGACCCGGCAGCCCCACTCCGGCAGCAGTGACCTGAGTGAAACGAAAACCTGTCCGACAGCCAGTACACACTCTTTACAGCAGCTCTACTCATAACTGTAAAAATCTGGAAAACAACCCCAACACCCTTTAACAGGCGAACAAACTGTGACCCATCCACACAGTGGAATGCTACTCCGTTTAAAGAAAAAAAAAAGCAACAGGCTAGGCATGGTGGCTCATGCCCGTAATCACAAGCACTTTGGAAGGCCAAGGTGGGAGGACTGCCTGAGCTCAGGCATTTGAGACCAGCCTGGGCAACTTAGCAAGACCTCATTTCTACAAAAAGTAAAAAAATTAGCCAGGTGTGGTGGCATGCATCTGTAGCCCCAGCCACGCAGGAGGCAGAGGAAGGATAACCTGAGCCCAGGAGGTTGAGGCTGCGGCGAGCTGTTGACTGTGCCCCCACACCCCAGCATGGGTGACAGTGAGACCCCGACTTAAAAAAGAGGGAGCAGATGCATGTTGATGAATCGAGGACGTTCTGCCTGAAAGCGTCTCAGAAAGTCATATAACTGTGACACTTATGTGACATCTTGAAAAGAGAAGACTACAGGACAGAGCTGACGGGGTGGTCGCTAGGGTCATGAGGAGGGGAGCAGTGACTTCATGGTGTGAGTGGGAGGGTCTTTGGAGAGGATGGCGCTCGCCTGTCCTGGTTATGTTGGTGTGGACACATCTGCACACATGTTCACATGCACGGAACCACATACCAAAATAAGAAATCACTCTTACTATGTGAACTTGTAAATGCATTTGAGAGAAAACACATTTTACCTGTAAAAGAATGACAGATGAGCAGCAAACATTTCATTGGCCACTGGCCCGAGTGCCACGGGTGCCTCAGCTTCCGAGTGCTGAGAAGAGTGACCGTCACCCAGAATCCCAGACCCAGACAGTCAACACCTAACACAAGTGCAAAGCAAAGATGTCTGCAGATACACGCAGCCCCTGCATGTAGCGCCCCGAAATCCTTGAAGAGTGTCCCATGACATTCCCTCTCACCCATGGACACAAAAAACAACCGAGCAACACACACAACATGCTGGCCATCTCTACTGCATTTTATAAAATTGTTAGTGTGTAGAGAAAAAGGGATAGAACGAGACTCCAGATGGCAAGGAAGACACGGGCGTAGGAGGCCAGATGAAGGCACACATCAAAGCCATTCCTGTCAGACATGGGACAGCAGGGCAGGTCTCAGAGGGCCCAACACGTGGTCCAGCAGTTCCACTATGCACACACACACACAAGCCTGCACAGATGCTCGCCACAGCCAAAGCGCAGAAGGAACCCAAACGTCCATCAGCCGAGTCATCCATCACCACAATGCGGTCCACACGCACACCGGAACAGCACTCAGCCGTAAGAAGGGATGGCGTTCTGACATGCACCGCACGCCTTGAGACGCCATACTTGGCAGAAGCCAGACCCCAGAGGCTTGCCCAGCACCGGCGAGCCCACCAGGCAGAAGGCAGACGTGCGCTGTCAGGAAGGACAGGGGTGGAGCACCTGCTGGTGACTTCTAGGGGTGATGAAATGTCCTAAAATTAGACAGGGATGATGGTGACTCCATAAAAGTGGGCGCTGGGTGGGAGTAAACAGACTTGTTGCTGCCTGGGCCGGCTCTAGGGCTTTCTGTCCCCAGAGGCCTCGGTCTCCTCCTGGGGCACCTCTGCCTGGCAGCTGGTGCCCTGAGCCCTCCGGCCTGGAGCCTGAGTCTGTCTTGCTGTTGGGAACGGGAGGGGCATCCCTGGGCTCCTGCACCAAGCCCCTGACCTCCTTTTCTCCTGTGGGAGTGAGAGACAGCGGACCCATGAAGGGCACTCGAAGGCATGCCTCGGCTCGTCTGCTGGTCACCGCCCCAGGCTGCCTCCAGCTTCCATGGGGTCCAAGTCCTTTATCAGCGTGGCTTCTGCTGCGCCTGTCCCTGTGGGGACGTCCATCTCTCCTCCTCTCCTCCCTCAAACCCGTTTCCTTTCAGGGTACAGGAAATGACCTCAATAATCTACCTGCTTTAACCTGCATGGATCTATGACAAAAATACGTCATATGTAAACAAGTTCCCAAATGGAGAAAGCTGCCATGTTAAAAACAAAACTAGGCCACCGCCTTGCTAAGCTATGGTGTGGCCACGTGCTCTCTGGGCTAAGGCCGGGCCATGTTTTCTTAAGCTTTGGCCCCCTTTTCTCCCTTGGGGAGGTCAGTCTCCTCTTTCCCTCTCTGATTCGCTTTCCAAATAAACGGTATTTTCTAATCCAAAGAAACAAAACAAACTAAAACCACAGTAGAAAGCATGGCGGTGCTGGCCAGCCCTGGAATGTCAAGAGTCTAGGGGTGGCACCCGACGCTTTGCCAAGGAGTGTCACACGCCTGAGTCAGAGGCCACGGATCACAGGGGTCCCGGGAGGCAACGGTCCAGGCTTCTGAAAGAGGACATGAATACAGAAGGATCCGTGGAGGCGCTAAGGACAACACTGACCAAACTCTGGAAGCACAACGGAGGAAAGGATGCAGCTTTTGTACAAATATTTGGAGAAGCTTCAGATGCTGCTGCAAGACTCGGGCATGGTTCACAAGTAAGTGAACAATTTGCTACAAGCCCTATCTGTGGTGATGGAGAAACAGCAACAAATTCACACTTTATGTGAGCAATTCGAAGAGTTTCCAGGACTTGGAGGAGAATCAGCAGAGTCTTCCTGGTGGTGCACAAAGGGAACTTGAAGAGGCAGGGGCCATGATGCAAGAAAACATTCTGTTGGGGACTCAGCGGCAAGGTTGGCACATATTCGAATGTTTCTTGACTCTATGTTACTCTGAAAAAGAACTGGAACCAAAATTCGAAGATACAAGCATAACACTAGCTACACGAAACCATGCTACAGTGTTCAAATATCTCTAGTCTAAAGCAGTACATGTTACTTCTCTTTTGTTTGTCAAATGCAAGACCTTGTTTCCGGGAACGACAGAATGAGCCCTAAACAGTTATATACGAAGCAGCCATTACACAGGTATGCTGTCTGTTAAGTTCTGGCAATAAAGATGATTTTATTTGAAAAAGTCTAGGGGTGCGTCAAGCAGCACCTTCATAAAGGATGTGATTATGCAGCCAGTCACATCTGTACATCAGCAACATAAACACGGTTTGCAGACCCCTCCCAGGACCAGCATCTGGGAACATCAGGAACTCGGAAATTGCGAGGAAAACAGGACCTGCGGCACAGCAGAAGATGGACAAGGACGCACACGGTGACTCGCACGGGGCAGCCTGCGAGCAACAAAACCAGGAAGATGCCCGACCCCATCGAGTCACCAAGTCACCAGGACAGACACCACAGTGACCCTTCACACAGCAGACAGCACATGCATGAAGTCCCACAGCATGAGATGCCGGCAGGGATGGGAGGGTGGAAGGGCTGGGCACGGGCCCTCTACAGAGCAGCTGGCAGCCACTAAGAAGGGGGCTTAGGACCCACCCACTCCCTCCAGGTTGACAGTGAGACGGCAGCAGGAGCACGCACCCGGAATGTCTCCCCTTGCAACACGACACGGCGACCAGAATCCAGAACTCGGTGTTAAACCAGACTAAGCAAGGCCCACTACCTGTGATGCCTCGGGATACAGCCTGTCCATTCGGAAAAGGCAACGCTTGTCTGCAGACACAGAAACACCCAGACACAAGGTCTCAAGACCTGAGGGAACAGAAACACCACGGCTGCTGACCAGCATGGACAGTGGCAGGGGTGGGCGGATGGGCCTGTAGGGCTTCTGCTGCCCATCACCATGGTCCATGCTTTTCCACCGTGGTAACTTCTCTACACAAGCAGTGAGGAGGCCAGGGAGGCCACACCTGCTCCCGATCCCCAACAGACGCCAGCCAGGCCTGACCCTCGCAAAGCAGCTATGCCCTCCCATCCGTCCTGAGCCACGCTACCGGCCAGGCAGTGTGGCCAGGAGCCTCCAGAGCCCTGCACTGTGGCGTACGGGGCCAGCTGGTGCTCATTCTAGCTGGGAGCCCTGAGCCCCCGCAGTGGGCCAGGCGCTGATGGGGTGGGATGCAGGGCCCTGCCCTCACAGGAGCCCGTGGCGGGTCTGCGAGGAACTCGACATGAAAGGACATGCCACAAGAGGGAACATGGGGCTTCCCCAAGGCTTGAGAAGAGCTCAGTGTTAAGAACAGAGAGGACGCCCAGCTGGCTGAAGAGGCTAGCACCGTGGGGAAGATCCCTGGGAAGACAGGAAGCCCGGGGGCCACCAGGGTCACCACCGCCAAGGCTGTGAGCCGCAGGTAACCCAGAGCCAGACAGACACTATTGACCACAGAGATTCCAACGGTTTAATCGTGGCTTCCCACCAGCTGAACGGTGAGGCATGTGCGTCCCTCAAGGGCCAGTCCAAGCTCAGGCAGCACAGGACTAGCCCTCTCCCGCTGCTGGCCCAGCTGAGCCGGCCCAGAGAGCCCCGTGCAGACATGCACCTGGGCTCTGCAAACGCTGCTTCTCTCCAGGGGCTGGAAGGCATGCCCTTGCTTGGTCAAGTGGGAGTCCCTTCCTGGGGCCGTCCCACATCTTCCTGCCATGCCCAAGGGATGCAGGGCAGCCTGCACTCTCCCACACCACGGGCAGTGCTCAGAAGCCCGTACAGGACGTGCTCCCCGAACGCCCACCAAGGGCCCCTCCCTCCACTGCAGACAGACGGTGAGGGCAGCCTTGCCGGGAAGCCCTTGGGACCTTGTCAGGCTCCGTGGCCGGACCCTCCATGCAGTCTCTGAAGCCCGAGGATGGCTGCGGCTCCTTCTCGTGTGAACGGTGAGTGTGGCGACAGCGCAAGCCCGGCCCCGCCTGCCTTTGTGCCACAAGGCCCTGGCCTGGCATGGTGGCCCCTCACTGAGCCGGCTATGCTCAGCTGCCCCAGCCCCTGGATGCCACTGACGGTAACTAGAGCCCTGTCAGATCCACGATGGCCTTGACGAAGATGGCGTCATCCCGCACATAGGAGTTCTTGGCCTCCATCTTGGAGACGGGGCAGAAGAGGGGGCAGCCGCTCGCAATGTTCATGCTGCTGACCGGCCTCTGGAACGAGGACGAGGTCACATCGGGCCTGAAGGCGTCGATCACGTGCTCCCGGTTGTTCTGGTCGAGCAGCATCAAGGTCACCTGGAGGAGACAGCCCCGGGGGTCAGGGCCATGAGCCCCTGCACTCCGGCATGCCCCAAGGGTTTACATGCCAGGAGAGCCCTGGCAGGCAGCCACCTGCAGCCACACTCTCGCCGCCCAGGGCCCAGGCTGGAGGCCAAGGGCAGGCTATGAGCTGGCAGACTCACTCCTGCAGCAGCGCCCGGCACCCCAGGGTCTGCGGGGATCTGCACCCCTCCAGCACCTTCTGCTGACTGGTGCCTGGAGCCTCAGGTTAAGGCCCAGCACTCTGGACTGGCATTCCCTTGTGCTTTTTCTGAATGATATTCGCCTGACAAATACACTTTCTTGCCACAGAGACCATGAGCTGTTCATGGCCACCTTGAGGAAGGACGCTTTTCAGGGAGAACCCAAGTGGTCTCTGTCAGGCCTGTGACCAGTGCTCTGGTACTGGCGAGGGTCCACCGGCCCGGGGGATGGGGCAAACAAGGCTGGGTCGAGGTGGCAAAGGGAGGCCTCTCACCCCAGCCTAGCCTCTGGCCTTCAACTCCTCCACCCAAAACACGAGATCACCCCTCAGACAGCAGCCTCGGCACCTGTGTTTCTCTCTTCAAGTCACAACCTCCAGGCAGTGTTTACAACCTGTTGGCCCTGGAAGGTCAGGCCGCCCCTGCCTGCATCAGACCAGTGCTCGGAAGCCACAGAACAGACTGAAACCGTGGTGTGCTCCGCTGCTGGAGGGAGCGCCACGGGGGCCACACCGGCTCAGACGTCCAGGTCCTGCACAACCCGCCAGGCGAAATGCCGCCGCGCAGGGCTCCCAGGTGCTGCTCTTGCTTACCTTCTGGTTGAAAGGCCACCGCAGGAGGGCGTCGTGCGGGCCTTTCATCACCACAAAGAAGAGGGACAGGTGCGTTCCTCGCCCGGTGCCGTCACCATTCAAGTAGATGCGGAGACACATCTTGTAGCCATACCGACTCGTGTAGAAGGCTGGGGGCCAGGGAGACAATGGAGGACACCAGCAAGGGTGGGCAGGCTTCTGCCACCCGGCCACCATCCCCCACAGGGAACACACCCGGAAACGTCAGGCTCCGGGTACAAAGAGAGACATCGTCCTCTCAAACTATGCAGAGTGGTTGCTAGTGAAAACACATTTCATTTTATAAAATGATTAGAGTGTTTTTTTGAGTTAGGGTCTCACTCTGTTGCCCAGGCTGGAATGCAGTGGCTCATCATGGCTTTCACAGCCTCAACCTCCTGGGCTCAAGAGATCCTCCAGCCTCAGCTTCCCAAGTAGCGGGGACTACAGGCGCATGCCACCATGCCTGGCCAATTTTTCTTATATTTTGGAGAGGTGGGGTCTTCCGGTGTTGCCCAGGCTGGTCTCAAACTCCTAGGTTCAGGCAGTCTTCCCTCCTCAGCCTCCCAAAGGGCTGGGATTGCAGACATGAGCCACGAAGCCCAGCCTAAACTCTTGTTTCTCCCATCTTAGCTCAGAGAAGAAAGCGTGTGTGGTTTTCGTTCATTTCTGGTTCCTGCTGAAGGCATGGCCAGGCTGTGCCTCGCGGAGCGGATGGCGGGCTTCCCAGATGCCACCAGGGGCTCCTCTTGCCTCGGGGCCTGGGAGCACAGTCCTGTGGTCCTCAGCACTCACCAAAGAGGAAAAGAGCCCCAGTGTCTCACCCAACCCTAGACCCCGAGACCTCGCAGCGGGCTCCCAAGCAGACACAGAACAGAGCACGAGAGCAGGCTCAGCCCACACGGCGTCAGCCCATGGAACACACACCCAAGCGGGAAGCAGGTGAGGCTGCAGCCATCACCAGGCCAGCGAGGGCCTCAAGGGACAGAGGGCGCCACCTCTGAGGCAGAGTTCAAGAAGCAGGTCCTGGCAGGCGCCTGAGGCTGGGCACACTACCCCTCCAGCAGTGCCCCTGGAGCAAACCCCACGCAGCCCGAGGTCCCATGGCAGGGTGGGAGAAGGAGCATGAGAAACACGAGCAGAAGCTAGACCGGGGACGCTCATCAAAGAGGAGAGGAGCCCCAGCTCTGCCAACACCAGGTGCCAAGTCTCCTGTCTCAGGCCGCCCCCACCACACCTGCCCTCCACTGGCTGTGGGTGACAAGGAGCGCGCATCCTGAGGACCAGCACGTTGGAAGGACGACGAGCCCCACCCCATAGCCTCCCGCCAAGGGGACACACTGGTGGCCCCACGTCTCAGCCGCCTGACTTGCCCCTGGGTGGTGCCGCTGCCACTGGTGTCCGTGGGATGTGCCCCAGCCCGGCCCTCAGGAGCCATCCCACATGGCCCTAGGACAAGGGGACCCAGGTACCCGGGTCAACAGCAGCCAAGGTCAGGGGTGCCGAGGACCCACCTGGGGAGAAGATGGCGGGTGTGCGGCCGGCCACAGCCTCCTGGCGCTTTCTGGCGAAGTCCGAGATCTTCCAGATGAAGATGCCGTCATAGGTGGACACCTCCATCTCCAGGACCTTCTGCTCTAGGTCGGCCATGGCCAGGTCCTTGAGGCTGATGCTCCTCTCCAGCTGCTGTACCTGCAGGCCCAAAACCCCTTCCCACTCACCTGAGAGTCATGGGCCCCAAGTCCCCGCCGAGCCCCCCAGGCTCCAGCAGGGCGGCCACCCCCTGCTCTGCATCTCGTGTCTGCTCCCTCCCCGTGAGACTCCCACCCGCCTGGCCGGAGGCAGAGGCTCCACACAGGCTCCACCCAACAGTGTGCCCAAAAGCCGTGCCATGCCAGGCACAGCCGCGCTGAGTCTGCCCTCTCAGGTCGGAGAGAGGAGGCTCCAGCCCGTGGCCTCAGTGATCTCCAGGGTCAGGTGCCTCGGTGAACAAGTCTCAGAAAAGAAGAACAGAGTCCTCCTTGGACACCGCACTGGGCTGGGCTGTGCAGGTGGAGTTCCAGCTTTAAGGCCACAGCCCGCTAGACCTGTCTCCACCCCACCTGCAGACACGGACCTTGTTGCTCAGGGCTTCGATCCGGTCCTGGTCCAGTCGGTGCTGGCGGCTGCAGGCCTCGGCCGTCATGGCCACCCTCTCCACCTCGCGGTTTAGCACACAGACGATGTTCTCAAAGGTGGCCGTCTTCCTCTCCAGTATCTCACACCTCTGCAGGAGCTTGGGGCCTGCCTGGCTCCAGTCCCCCGCAAGGGGTCTGGCCTCCAGGACGGCGCCCAGCAGCAGGGACAGGTGCTCACGCAGCTGCTGCGCCTCGTGCTCCTGCTGCCTCTCGCTCTCCACCTGTGGACAGAGGCACGGAGGCCGCTGGCACCACCCATGTCCAGCTGCACCAGGCCGGCCTCCAGCACGTGGGTCTGGGCTGGGTGAGGGACGCAGGGCAGAGTCCCTGCACGGGACACCTGGCAGGACTGGTGTGGCCTGTCCTCGGGCACATGACAGCCTGTGACCCACTGCTGGCCGACGGAAGGTGTGTTTCAAGAAGATGACCTTCTGTGGAGCTGACCTGCCTTCGTGTGAAGCACAAAGGAGGGAGTGCCATCTCAAAGCTGCCGCGAGGGGTGGTGCTCGGGCCCCTTCCATAGACCGCATTTCATAGCTAGGACTGCAGCTTAGTGAGCATCAAACTTCAGCAACCCAATTTTACAATGTTAAAGACACTCCCCAAAAAAGTGGAGGAAAAGAATCAAATGCACCCGAATGTGCACACAGCTAGAGGCTCGCCTGCCCAGAGAGCAGGGGCACCCGAGGACGGAAGAGCTGGACAGGAGGACGCCCCATTCTGCAGGAGCCCTGCCAGGGGACCGTGGCGTGTGAGGGTGGAGAGCAGCACTGTGGTGGGGTGCCTAGGCTTGAGTGAGCATGTCACCATCCACGCAGGGGTGTCTGATCAACTCTGACCCCCAAAAGACCCAGAACAAGCACCATGGTGGCAGTGAGCCCCATGGGCCCCACGTGATGACCTGTAAGCCACATCCCACAGGGAGCCCAGGCTCCCTGGGGACGGCGGGTCCAGGTCTGAGCAGGACACAGATAAGAACTGCTGCGCAGAAAGCAAAAGACCCTCAACACGGGCCAAGCAAATGGAGGCAGCCACGGTCCTCCCACCACTGTCAGAAAGAAACGAGCCATCCGAGCTCCAGATGATCAAGATGCCCAGCCCTCCACTGCAGACACTGTGAGATGGCCCTGTCCGCAGCAGGCAGTGCCACCTGGTGGGGCCCCAGTCCTCAGCTGGCAACAGAGGGTATACACGTGTCCCCATCTGTCAGGCACACGCCTCGGCAGGGACAGTCCCAGCCCAGCACCCCTTGAGGATCACAACAGGGTGCTGACCTCAAGGGGCTCCCAGTGTCCAGGGCAAGATGGACAAGAAACAGAGATGTGGGCACTGGTGAGGGGAGGGGAGGCCTGCAGTGAAGCAGAGGGTCCACCTGGACAGGCCCAGGCACCTAGCCGGCATAAGTGCCTGGTGGTAACGGGTGGGCGTACCTGCAGATGCCAGGCCAGTGGCCATGGCAGACGGGACGACACTGAACCACTGGCCAGGTGTGAAGACAGAGGTCACGAAAGGGCTTAAGCTAAAAGTGCTATGATGGGATCAGGAGCCCTGAGGCACTGAGGCCCATGTCTAGGCAAGACAGGATGCCATGGGCAGGGCAGGGGTGGGTGGGGTAGGGGTGTGTCCAGGTTCCGCATGAGGGCATCAGAGGGCCTGTCAGGTGGGCATGAAGTGAGAGCCGAGAGGAAGGACCAGAGTGACCGCCCATGCCAGGCCCTGGCTAGAGCCACTGGCTGGAGTGTGCTCTGTCCTGGGCGAGGCAAGAGGACGGAGTGGGGGTGGGGCGAGGACAGTGGTAAGGGGCGTGCTCAGAGACAGGCGGTGGGCAGAGCCAAGGACTCCGAGATCACCAAGGGCATGAGAGTGGACGGGCCGCCAGGGACTGAGCCTGGAACACTGGGACGACTAGGGGCGGGAGGAGGAGTGGGCGTGGCAAAGGAGGCCGAGGAGAGGCCCCAGGAGGTGAGAGGGACACCAGGAGAGCCGCTCGAGCTGAGTACAGTGTTGGGGACCAGGGTACCGGCCCAGCACCCCCCTCAGACTCACCATCTCAAGGCAGCCAATGGTGTGGAACCGGCAGGGCACCCGGCACTTGCCACAGGTCTTGACGTGGTCCTGAAACTACAAGGGCAGATGTCAAGCGCCATCACTCTGCTCCAATCCACGTCAGCACCTCCACACGGACCAGACGAGACCAAGAGAGAGAGTCGGGGACGCGCCAGACCCTTCACACTCGTGGACTCAGCCAACAGCCCATCTCCAAGGCAACGCTCACACGTGCGTGCACATGTGTGCACACACAAGCCAGCAACCAAAGTGGCAAGTGTTTTGGGATGCTAGCAGAGCCCCAGAAGGCAGAAGGCAGGAGCCTGTAACCTCCATCCCAGCGCACAGGACAAGTGGTGCTAATGCCCAGGCCCTGGGTCAAAACCAAGACGGGGCAGGAGCTGGCACGGACCAGAGTCCAACGTCACTGCCACCGGGGGGTGCCGGATGCAGCAGGCCACCACGCGAGCGCAGGGGCAGGGCGGCCCGTGCAAGTCGGCAGCGGGAGCGTGGGGTGACAGAGGCACGAGACCACGCCCCCTTCTCACCCAGGGGAGGGCTGTGCCGAGCCTCGCGTGTGAGCGCATCCAAGCTACACACGCCAGCAGGAGGCTCGAGGTCTTCACTCTGGGAGTGGGAAGTGTCTTCACTACCCACCAACTTCCAGAAACAGTAACAGAAGCCTTGAACAGTGCCTCGAACAAACGCAGACCAGAAACACCGCAAGGGGCCACAGCCACGAACGGACCTTCCCAGCAGGAAGCGTGGCTGAGCCTGGGCACGAGCGTGCCTAGCCCTATCCCCATGCTGAGAGGCACATGGAAACCACCCCAGACCTGCTGTGCCTCCGTGTCATGGGGATGGGCTCCTGGCCCCCCGGCTGCTGAAGCCCAAGGACACTTGAGGCCACGATGGGGAACAGCGCGTGCCTGCGTGTCCCCACGCACCTCCAGGTTGTCCCAGGCTACCTGCACAGGCCCATGTGCGCAAGTGCTACACGACAGCTTTCATGCTGTGCTGCTGGGGTCAGTGACGAGAGCAGGCCTGCAGGGAGGGCCCAGGGGTGCTGAGAGCCGCTACACTCCTCACCCACTGTCCTGGAAAGCCCACGTCAGCCCTCTGCCGGCCAGTGTGGGAACAGCTCCCACACAGCGAGGGGTTGTACCTTCTGAGTACCGGCAGAGCCGCGGAAAGGGTGCCCAGCCTGCTTTCCCAACTCTGCTGACGCGGAATGCACCTTTTTTGTACTGTCACTTGGTGCCGGGTGACCATTTCACAAAACCACAACACTTTAAAAAAAAAAAAGTTTTTAAGGAGCAATCCTGGGCAACAGAAAGCAGATACTCCTGTTGCTCTACTGACCACAGTGCCCTTCACAAAGTATCTGCCTCTAGTAAATGTACCTTTCTCAATTCATTAAAAAAAAAAGCAATCCTGAAAACTTAACAGCAAGAGCAAGATGAAGCAATGTGCCTCAGTGCACGCCGGAAGACGCCGGAAGAGACGCCCCCTGCAGGGGCTGCTTCGGGGACTGCAGCCTCCAGGAGCAGAAAGGCCTGGAGCGAAGACCGCGTCGTCACACGTCAGTCACAGACCACACAGGCTCCAGCATCGGTGCCGTTATCATGCACAGAAGGATAAAACATGCTTCTGTGAATGTCAATAGAAACCACGACTTTCTGCAGAAAGAAGAGATGCTCACATGGAGATGCGGCAAGAACCCGACATGAAAGCCAGGCTCGGTGGCTCAGCCTGTAATGCCGCACCTTTGGGAGGCTGAGATGAGTGGATGGCCTGAGCCTGTGGGTTCGAGACCCGCCTGGGCAACTTGACGAGACCTTATCTCTACAATAAATCAAAAAAAATTAGCCGGGCATGGTAGCACACGCCTGTAATTCCAGCTACTGGAAGGCTGAGGCGGAAGGATCGCCAGAGCCCAGCAGGTCGAG